AAGGTTGTGCACGTGATAGCCATAATCTAGCTCAGGTGAGGCGAGGCAATACACTTTGACCTTGATTATGGGCTTGACATATTTCACTGATAAGATCCTTCACTGACATGTTTTATTGAGAAATGATAAATATACATGTCAACAGTTTTAACTAGGATATCACGAAACTGCTTTCTGTCACTTGAACGTTTTTCCTAAGGTGTCATATATTTACTATTTGCTCTTCACGCTTTCTTGGTAGATTAACCTGTACCATATATACATTGTAGTTAGATGCACATAATGTAGTCATATAATTGTCACTCGTGTAATAGTAGTAGCATGAACTTTCTCCATACTCATAATACACGGTCATCGCAACGATTCCAACTTTATCAATTATTTATATTAATAATCACTGTTGAATAGTGATGACTTCCGGAGTTTTTCCTGATATATAGAACCGATATAACCTTTTCCACACTCATAATAAATACCTGCAACAGACAGGGCGATCTCAACGATTTCAACTTTATCATTTACATATATTTTTGAATCACTGTCAAATAGTGATGCCTTCGGGTTTTTGCATACAGGTGTGCGTATCCTGCCCACCGATGGCACATAATCGTGCAAGACAAGTTAAAGACTCACCTAGAAAACAGGGGAACAAGTCAAGTCAAAATAGCGAAATGCAAATCAGTTTTGTCACTGATGCGTCTATTTCGGATTCCTCCACATTTTCACGATGAAACATTTTGAAGCTGAAGCCATTCCTCTTAACACGTAGTCAAAAGAATATCCCTCTTGTTATCCTTATTGTCAAAAGAATACTTCATTTGGTGGATATAAAACCTATCGGATAGTGTCAACATGTAATACCAGCTATTATTGGTCATCGTGCAGTGATTACTGATTGGAGATATCAATTCGAGTGATAGTAATGTGTGTATCAGTTTATAATGGATACCATTAGTCCACAAGCAGTTATAGACCGCAGTTGTCTGCAATGTGAGTCGTGTTGTGGCCATTTCTGATTGGGTTATTGAGATATCGACTGAATTCATAACAAAAAGAGACCAATTCACATCTTTTTGTTTGGCAGTACAAAAACTGGAGAGGGTTCAATGACTGTCAGAGCTAAGCGTTTTCCCATAATAGTTTTCCTCATTTTTATGAGTAGCATTTGTTAAAAAACAACTATTTTAGAACATATAGTGAGTGAGTGAGTTAAAATCTATAGTTACATCGACAAGCAGAAAATGATACTCGCCACGCACAGCATTTAAATTAGAAGTAATACCTAAAGGAATCCATTTTCAATAGGAATATTTTGCCAACGGCCAGTTTCTACTGGGATTCTATGATTTGTAGTTGTTACTGTTGTTCATTACCGTCGTAGATTAAAGGATAAATTCAACTGATAGCATTCAATTTTCAGATTTTCTTTACACTGATAATATATCCCTTTTGAAGAATTTTCAATTGAGTTTAGCTGGGATTGTCGGAATTGATCAATTTTACATTACTCCAAGCCAGTTTGCATATTTTGCAAATTTAGACTAGAAGGTAGAAAAAGCTAGTTTCATTTAGAATATTTTAAACATTTTCTGAAACAATAAAACCAACATTCGTTCTAGACGACAATTTATACATCCTAGAATATAAAATATATGATAACTGATCTACATCGATAAGTAATTTTGCCCGGAGATTTACAGTTCTAAGATGCCAAATGGATATGTACCAAGTTCCCCATTGGTGTTTTGTGCTTCACGTTTAAGATGTATGAACCGAATTTCAATGATCAAATAATTCGTAGTCAACAGGTATATCTAATTGTCTAATAATTTTATAAACAGAAAACATTGCTCTATTCTATTGAACTCCAGTTAGACCAATGGGTTTACATAATTTTCTATTCCTACTAAATATTACTGCAAAACAAATTCCTACTACATAATACTGCTGATATTCCTTAACACTTTCAATTTCTTCCCCAAACAGTTTTGACATCCTTTATGCTTTCTTGGGCATTGTAACTATTTACATAATGTATTTTTCAACACAAGTCACCAGGACAATCTTGATCTAAACAGGATACATAATCATGAGATTTTTGTGGAGCACTGTGCTTTATATAAGTGAGATTCTTATTTGGGTTTATTATGTAAATTTTGTTGTCATGACATTCCGTTTGTATCAGGTATCGGTTTTATTAATGGATTTGTGATTATAAAATCTTGATCAAACTAATGTCCAAATTTGACTTTGCTATTTCCAACAACTCAATATGGACACCAACTAAATGAAGCATATTTACTAACAAATTGCTACAAGATCTTACCCATTTATGCTTTACTTTTGAAGATGATCTGTATTTTAATTAAAGCAAAATCAGAGACAAATCGTTTCAGCAAGACTCCTTCCCTTCAACCCCCAACTCACTAGCAGGAGACTGATTGCATACTTAAGTCCATTGATCCTCACAGAAACAATACATTTCTAAATGTAATGTTCTGTGTCTGCTTCCAGTTTTCCAGAAATACATTGCAAAACTACAAACATAAAGCTCACGACAAGATCACTTTGCAACATCCTTGTTTTCTTGCCATTCGCTATCATTTACTGTCTAACTTAAATGGTCTATTTCCGTACTAATACGATACGAAGATTATGTGTTAGTGCGTTTATAAGGAAAATAGGCTGTGAGATTATTGTACTGTGTTTATACACCAATAATATGCTCATATGGCTAGTAGCAAGGGAGATTTTAATCTTCTGAGTAATACTTTGAAAGCAAAACAGATGAGTCTGTTGTAGTATAGCGTAGAGGTGGTTACAGTTGATGACAACCGCTATGTTCAGTATTCAACGAGATGCTTCTGTCAAGAACGCCAAGACCCTGGTGTTTCAGTTTGCAGTGAGCCATGCCATGTACACACGTCTGGGATGAAATCTTAAAGTCCACTTTTGCTCTGTCGGGTTTCCAGTGAAGCGATATGAGTGATTGTGCGATCGTGTCAAACTTGAAGGTCCTATTTACCGGCATAACCCACTAAAGGTGTCATTGAGTTGTGAGGATGGTGAATAGATATATTTCATCTGGTAATAATATCTGCTTCAACGACTGACTGACTGACTGAGTTTGATTTTACGCCGCTTTTAGCTATATTCCAGCAACATCACTGCGGGGGACACCAGAAATGGGCTTCACACATTGTGCCCATGTGGGGAATCGAACCCGGGTCTTCGGCGTGACGAGCCAACGCTTTAACCACAAGGCTACCCCACCGCCCCTGCTTCAACGAGATGTCGGGTGTGTAATGTATAATGTATTGAGAATTCCATCAGTAAGTAACGGATATGCATCTGAAATTCAAATGAAAACCAAATGCACTAAAATCTATATCCAACATTTGTGTGATGTCGACAAAACATCTGAAATTCAAATGTTAAAAAGTATGCATGTTTGTGTGTATCATGAGGACGGCTACACATCTGACATTTGAAAGAAAACAACATGCATCAAGATTTGTATCCGATATTTGTAATTAAGGTTAATTATACGTCTAAAATTCAAATGTTAAAAAGCATGCATGTTTGTGTATAACTGACATTTGTCTGAGGACAACTATACACCTGCGATGTGAATGAAGACATGTATTTACATGTTTATCCGCCTTTTGAATGATATGGAGACATACATACATCTGCATGTCCTATATTGATGATGATGTGTATCCGATATCAATATCAGGACGTTATACCCATACATGACTTTCCAGTAATTGTATAAGGTCGATGTTACCACACATGTATAAGTGGGTATTTGAATGACGCAGATATTTAACATTTTTACTTGGATGTTTAGCTTTTGTACGTATATGTCATCATGAAGGCGACATGTCGGTATGTGTATCATGTCGATATAAATATATGTGCATATCCGGTATTTGCTTGGGACCGATGTGTCCATAAGTGCACAGCTGGTATTTGTATCCTGTCACTATGCCCATACATGTATATCCGGTATTTGTATCACGTCAGTGTGTCCATCCATGTATATCCGGTGTTTGTATCACGTCACTATGCCCATACATATATATCCGGTATTTGTATCATGTCACTATGCCCATACATGCATATCCGGTATTTGTATCATGTCACTATGCCCATACAAGCATATGCGGTATTTGTATCATGTCACTATGCCCATACATGCATATCCGGTATTTGTATCATGTGACTATGCCCATACATGCATATCCGGTATTTGTATCATGTCACTATGCCCATGCATGCATATGCGGTATTTGTATCATGTCACTGTGCCCACACATGCATATGCGGTATTTGTATCATGTCACTATGCCCATACATGCATATGAGGCACTTGTATCATGTCACTGTGCCCATACATGCATATCCGGTATTTGTATCATGTCACTGTGCCCATCGATGCATATCCGGTATTTAAATCATGCCACTATGCCAATACATGTATATGCGGTATTTATATCATGTCACTGTGCCCATACATGCATATCCGGTATTTGTATTATGTCACTGTGTCAATGCATGCATATCCGGTATTTCTATCATGTCACTGTGCCCATCCATGTATATCCACTATTTGTTTCATGTCACTGTGCCCATACATGCATAGCCGGTTTTTGTATCATGTCAGTATGCCCATCCATGTATATCCGGTATTTGTATCATGACACTGTGCCCATACATGCATATCCAGTATTTTTATCATGCCATTATTCGCATCCATGCATATCCGGTATTGGTTTGGGGACGATATACATGTAGCTCGACGTGTCTGATCTTGGCACTATGTGACATTAATTTCTTTTTACAGGCTGATGATTTAGTCGTTCTCTTACATTACCCTGCACTGGGCAGAGGTTTATAACACATTTACCTTGTAAATTCTTCCACGTGGCAAACTGAGCCAGCATTCATCAGCATCAGCCTCCAATGTTTTGGCTGCGTCGTCACTCCCCGGCAAGATGGATGCTGACAAATGTCAGAAAGCTTGTCTCGGAGCAATTTCCCTTGATTATCCCTCTCCCCTGGACATTCTCGCCTCCACACAGCCTCCTCATTACTTGACCTGCGTATGGTGTCGTCAACCCTGTAAAGAGCATTACAATACCAAATTTAGGCTTGTTTTTCATTAACATATATCTTCTCCAATTACGGCTAATTGTGAGACATATTTATAAACATCATTTCATAATTAGTGAGTGTTGTAAAACATTCATGTTATATCACGGCGAATCAGTTTTATGCTTATGTAGGTCTCAGACATTAAGCTACTTTAGTAAAACCCACGAAGACGGGCACGGAGCACACAATAATAGGTTTCTGGCGAGCCAATGGGACACAATTCTTCACAGTGAATAGCAGCATCAAGTTTCTAAGGCTGTTGCTTACAAACAAACAATCAAACTTCATATGATATACAAGTATATGCAGCGAGTTTTCTCAATACCAGCTTGTTTCTGAGGATAGCCAAGATTGTACGTCATGTGTATTCCTTTGCACCGATATTTTTATTACAAAACACTATTTACAGATAAGCTTTATCCAGTCAACATTTATTATAGATGCACTCACACAGGTTATGATAATATACATAACAAGAAGATAGATTTGTCTTGTTCCCGCCAGGTCTAACGGCATGTCTCGCTATGTCACAGGTTAAGCCTGTTGAACACGTCTTAAATTTCAACATTACTTGTTTCATACATATATGAACGGCGAATATAACAAAACAGGAAATCTTGAAACTTAAAAGATTAACTTGAATAATATCTTTTGAAATATAATAAATTTATACAAATTTCAAGTCTAATCACCTTGATGACGTTCGGGCTGAGAAAACTTGTCAGATTTCTATCATTGTACAAATGTTCAAAATAAACTTTCCACACTTCCTTATGCAGTTAGGTAATATTTCTGTCTAAGCCCGAAGGATATAACGTATGCTTGCTTGTAATTCTACATCATCCTTACTTGTTACTTGCTATGTGCCCTTCAACTCACCCGGAAGTTGTCCTTCCAAAGCATATCAATGACAGGTAACTCAAAACACGCTGAGTATATAAACGCGAAAGCTGTAAGTACAAACATCACTGAATGTTCCTACGTTGACAAGCAGTCGCTCCATACTTCTAACCGTGAGTACCCTGGTAAACACCACTTTATGAATTGATATAATTAATCAAAAAGTAAATGCCTATGAGTCTCCGCACCATCTTTTTCTATGTATTTTCAAAACGTTTCATCCGTTCAGAGTCAAATATCTTCATGTTTAACCTTAATCTTTAAATCAACTAAAACTAAGCAACTAAGATAAAGTTTCACCAAAGTAATTGGAAATCATTTCTTACATTATAAATGACCAAGCATGAGCAAAACTTCGCTTTGATGCCACATGTTTAAGACGTGCACTCACATTGAAACTTTGTTTTTCAATTTCAGTTACAACATGTTATACGTTAATAACACATTCACTCTCATTGACAGCTTCCGAAAATGATGAAGCTTATCGTCGTCCTTGTTGCCTGTCTGGCTGTTGCTACTTACGCCAAACCCATGGGCTACGGTATGGGCATGTACGGAGGCGTCGGTGGCCTTGGCTATGGTATGGGAGGCCTGTACGGAGGCATGGGCGGCTTTGGCTTGGGAGGACTGTACGGCGGTATGGGTCTTTTTGGAGGTTTTGGAGGATTGTACGGAGGCATGGGAGGATTGCACGGAGGCATGGGAGGACTGTACGGTGGCATGTACGGAGGAATGGGACTTGGCAAAGGAATTGGTAAGTTTTCTAAGTAATTATATCATTTTATGAGACTATCGCTAAATGAATTAACATGGCACAAATGAAGTTTTGTTGTAGGGACAGGGAAGTTATATTACCTTTGTCGGTTGTGCGTATTAATTTGCCCATTGCAGTAACATTTGTGAAGGGAATGAGTGGAGAGGGGTAGGTGTGGGTTTTATTACCGTCAGACTATTTGCTTTTCTCAATACATGCAATGACCCAGTTTGAAAGGCGAAACCAAACGATTTTTATCCCAAGGTAAGAATTTCTATCTGACTTCTAGTAAAGAACGCCTAAACAGCGTTACTTTTCAAACTATTTTATCACATGATAATTGTGTATTATGTTTTCTCTTTTAGGTATGGGATATGGTTACTACTGAGAGTCGTGAATTCAAGAACAGTTCCCTGTGGTTATTAACTCATGTACATCCGACGATTGTAATAAATATATTTACATTCATTCGTCTAAATTTTATCATTTATAAATGTATGACATTTTACATCATAAAGAAACATGAGTTTATTGCGTAAACGTTCTAATAGATGCGGATTCCCAAAACCGACATTGGAGTATGGGATTATGAGTGAATATTGCATGAGACAATTTCAGATTTCCCCCATCCACAGAGCTGCATTGCAAGTCGTGTCAAGAAAATCCCCCTTAAAGGATGCGGGTGTATGTGCTGTAGTGTAAGAAAATTACCAAATCCCACCAAACTGTCTTGGGTTTATGTCTTCACCTTTGTTCTAACATATTTTGAATATCAAGGCTTGTTCAACACATGTTTTTGTGAAAGCATGGAATTAAAGGGAAAATATTCATATCACAACATACAAAATAGTCGCAATTATATTAGCATCCAACAGCTATTTAAGAACATGTTTTGTACACTTTATAATTTTCTGACTTAATGTTTGCAAGTAAACGTTTCAAATGAAAACGGATGACATAATTAATTGTGATTTAGGTCGCAGTCAGCAATATCACAGGTTCTTCCATATAAACATGACGTTAAACAGTATGAACTAAATGGAATAGCTCATAAAGATTTACCCATCTCAAGATACATTCTTATTATTCAGGGCCTAGATATTCGAAGCTCTCTTAGCGCTAAGATAGTCGTAAGTGCCATACGTTAACATTAACTTACGACTATCTTAGCGCTGAGAGAGCTTCGAAATTCTAGGCCCAGGTTCACAACCCCCATTTCTTTGAGATACCGTTGTTTATATATTATCCGCCACTACCTGACGTAACTGAAACAGAGTCTGATAGATTCCCTGCAATCCCCTCCTACCCGACATCATATCCCTACATAGTCACTACTGATGTAATTCTCCATACATCAACACAACGTGTAGACAAACCAGAGAGGATGTATAAGTGCTAACTCACCTGACCTTGATGCTAATTATCTGTTTCTAAGGGAATCAGCAACACCTACATACTCATACTTATAACAGTTGCAAAACAGAGATGATGATAAATCAGGAAATCAAACTAGTTTCTGGCTTCCCTTAAAAACCTGATCCTCACCCAATGTGATTTTGAAAATTAGACCATTTTTCAGTTGATATAGGTCCCAATGGCAAAAATCCCTTTTTGAACTTACCCATTGAATGAATACTGTCTATTGCAGGAGGTCAACCTGAGTTTCTACCGATGCTCAGGGCAATAGCAAACTTAGACAAAATATTTTGTATGCAACAATGAAGCTCCAAACAATTGACACATTCCTATCGCATTGTATACTCCTTACAAAAATTAAGCAACAAGTATTTTCAGTGTAATATCTTTATCAATCTGGATAGCGATTTTTGCCGACATGTTACTGAAAGGTAAATATTCAAAGAATACATAACATTTAGTGACTGTCAAATTGATTCATCTGATAACATTGTCAACATCACCCGAACACAACCCCCCTCAAAAACAACATGCAAAATGTGTGGCACACATGCACCCTGATCGGTGTAAACCCACCTGTAATCATTCCCCTGGCACAACAAGTGGGTCCTGACTTCATGTTTATGGATGATAATGCCTGGCCATGGATGATAATGCCCGAGAAGAGTGTTTAATGATGTTGTTTAGATCAACAACATCATGCTTTTGAGGATTTCTAAGCTTATTACTGCTCAATACCATTCTATATCATTTTGTTAATTGTGTGTACATATGTTTCAACTTTCTATTGCGTCATTCAATGATTTGAAATTTCAATAAATGAAAGTAATGAAACGAACATTTTGTGTTGCTTAACCTTTTGTGAGGAGTATTTATAAACAAAGCTCTGACACATCATCATTCACAGAAATTCGTTTTAGTACATATGTTTAAACAATGTGTCCCTCAATTTAGAGTGTTCGTTGCTATAACAATTTTGAATACATCTACTATGCTTTCCAATTTCTTATAGATGTGGAGAGGGTTTTGTCACTCTTATTTACAGCAAACGGCTACGATTTTCTTTCGTGATTCCATTATCATAATGCTTGCTAGACTATTTCAAACGTGGGCGTTCCATTGTTTCATGACAAGAAAGGCTGTTGACTTGGAGAATCCTGCATCTATGAAAGTTTCATTTTGTTGTTGATGTGTCACCTTGTATAACGTCGCAGTTTAACAGGTCTGTGAAAATTGAACTGATGGCAGACAAACGTGTTACTGACATAATGAAAGTCGCCTCACGTGATTTAAGTGTCTGATTACAAAATAAGCTCAGCTGGTTCTAAGAAGCATTCAATTTGGTTTCTCAGAATATATTCCATCACAAAACCCCAAATCTTTTCAATACGGACAGTTGCATTTCATCAGTGTCAGACTTGGGTTTTACTAACACGAATGGGGAAGCGATAATGTTCTGATATAATACTGCCAAATGTTTTAACCTGACAACTTGGCTAGATTTTCTGTGCCTCACAATGAACTAGGAACTGTTTCTACAACCATATCCCCGTCCTACGACAGTCGTAAGTCTATAACATGTCACTCTAATAAGGGAGGGACAGGAGCTGAGAATGCGTCGATAACACGCCTTGTGTGCACATTGGTGTCTCTGTTTTATTCTCCGACCATCACTGAACATCAACATTTTGGCTGACAGCTACAGCCTGATGTTTTCGATACACACAGATGTTTATGTGAAGGATTTCTGAGAGAAGAGAGCATCGAAACTGTCTTATCGCTGAGATCATTTTAGAGAACGGTAATGAGCAAGAAAAGAAAGTTTAACCAGGGAGATATATAAGATATTATACATCTCATAACCTCTTTTCAATCGGTGCATTCTGTAAATGCATCATGGGAGGATATCTGACTAAATGAAAAAGGTATGTTTAGTATTTTCTCATCGTATCCCGGAGGGGCGTTAAATCACGACTCATAGTATGGACAACAATGAACAATAAAGAAAGCATAGTCCACATCTATAAGAAACTGGAAAGCATAGTAGATGTATTCAAAATTGTTATAGCAACGAACACTCTAAATTGAGGGACACATTGTTTAAACATATGTACTAAAACGAATTTCTGTGAATGATGATGTGTCAGAGCTTTGTTTATAAATACTCCTCACAAAAGGTTAAGCAACACAAAATGTTCGTTTCATTACTTTCATTTATTGAAATTTCAAATCATTGAATGACGCAATAGAAAGTTGAAACATATGTACCCACAATTAACAAAATGATATGCAATAGTATTGAGCAGTAATAAACTTAGAAATCCTCAAAAGCATGTACCCGTGAAACAGTCGTGCAAAATGTGCTGCATTGATGGAGCAAAATGTTAACATTAAGGTTCAAGTCAGTTTTGGACAGTGAAGCAGTGTTCAGTAACGCGTATGACCACCATGAGCAGAAATGCAAGTTTCTACACGTCTTTACATAGAGCAGATGAGCCTTTAAAGTTGCTGTTGTGAAATGTTCTGCCATTATCCCTGTAACGCCTGCTTAAGGTCATACAGAGTCTGGGGGTGAACATGGAAACCGTAAACACGATTTCCAATAGTGTCCCAAGCATGTTCAATGGGATTAAGATCAGGTTACCTTGCAGGCCAGTCCATATGTGTGATGTTGTTGATCTAAACAACATCATTAAACACTCTTCTCGGGCATTATCATCCATGGCCAGGCATTATCATCCATAAACATGAAGTCAGGACCCACTTGTTGTGCCAGGGGAATGATTACAGGTGGGTTTACACCGATCAGGGTGCATGTGTGAAGAGTGGAGCGCATCCGTGCCACACATTTTGCATGTTGTTTCTGAGGAGTATACAATGCGATAGGAATGTGTCAATTGTTTGGAGCTTCATTGTTGCATACAAAATATTTTGTCTAAGTTTGCTATTGCCCTGAGCATCGGTAGAAACTCAGGTTGACTTCCCGCAATAGACAGTATTCATTCAATGGGTAAGTTCAAAAAGGGATTTTTGCCATTGGGACCTATATCAACTGAAAAATGGTCTAATTTTCAAAATCACATTGGGTGAGGATCAGGTTTTTAAGGGAAGCCAGAAACTAGTTTGATTTCCTGATTTATCATCATCTCTGTTTTGCAACTGTTATAAGTATGAGTATGTAGGTGTTGCTGATTCCCTTAGAAACAGATAATTAGCATCAAGGTCAGGTGAGTTAGCACTTATACATCCTCTCTGGTTTGTCTACACGTTGTGTTGATGTATGGAGAATTACATCAGTAGTGACTATGTAGGGATATGATGTCGGGTAGGAGGGGATTGCAGGGAATCTATCAGGACCTATTAGGAGAAGACCTTGTTTCAGTTACGTCAGGTAGTGGCGGATAATATATAAACAACGGTATCTCAAAGAAATGGGGGTTGTGAACCTGGGCCTAGACTTTCGAAGCTCTCTCAGCGCTAAGATAGTCGTAAGTTAATGTTAACGTATGGCACTTACGACTATCTTAGCGCTAAGAGAGCTTCGAATATCTAGGCCCTAATCATAAGAATGTATCTTGAGATGGGTAAATCTTTATGAGCTATTCCATTTAGTTCATACTATTTAACGTCATGTTTATATGGAAGAACCTGTGATATTGCTGACTGCGACCTAAATCACAATTAATTATGTCATCCGTTTTCATTTGAAACGTTTACTTGCAAACTTTAAGTCAGAAAATTATAAAGTGTACAAAACATGTTCCTAAATAGCTGTTGGATGCTAATATAATTGCGACTATTTTGTATGTTGTGATATGAATATTTTCCCTTTAATTCCATGCTTTCACAAAAACATGTGTTGAACAAGCCTTGATATTCAAAATATGTTAGAACAAAGGTGAAGACATAAACCCAAGACAGTTTGGTGGGATTTGGTAATTTTCTTACACTACAGCACATACACCCGCATCC